TATCCAGCTGTAAAATGAGAGCAATGATAATATTTGCCTGCCCCACAGGGGTGATGGAAGAACTAATTAAGGCTGGTGAATTGTTCTGACGACCTCTGATGAAAAGGATGGCATTTTAATACTTTCCAGGGTCTTGTAATGCAGAACTCATATGTAAATCAGAAAGAGTGCTATGCTGTCCCACGGAGACCCTCCCAGCTTTTATGCTAAAAGTAACTGGAATCAGAATTTGACACATCACAGTACAAAGCAGCAGCAAAAGGCCAAGCCATTCAGTTCAAACAGCCATTTGACATTTCTTTAATGGCTTTCTTAGTGACAGTTTGCTGTAGATGTTTTTCAATGCATGATCAACCTCCGGTCTTTTCAACCTGAAAAGTCAATGAGTGTCCTTCCAACTCACCTCAGTGGACACACTTCTCTGCTCTTTTTTTGAGAGCAAACCTGGGTCTCTTCTACCCTTTTCTTAATGAAAATCAGCGACTTGGGTTTATAATCAAGGACAAAGAAAGGGCAAGTGGTAAGTCAATATCTACTCCTGTTGGCTATATTTTTTGTCTCTAAACTACCCCACATGTTCCTTTTTTAATTTTGCCTTCTAGGGAGAAAAAAACAGAGGGGAATTATCTGTCTTATGCCCCCTACGACTGTTGTCAGGCTCAGATCAGAAAGTCAAGGTGCTTAAGACATAGAGGGAGCTGTCCAACAAAAGCATTGCTGAAAAAAAAAGGTTGGCAGAGATGTCACATTAACAACACGTAACATCTAGCCACAAACTGAGTAGTACTATAGCTGCCTTTGTTCCTCTACATCTTCCTTAAGTGCCTCATTCTAGATCAGGTCCATGAGAACATGTGGCAAATCTGGCCCCCTTCCCCTGCCCCTTACTCAAAGCTCAGGGCTGTTTAATGCTGCCAAACAGGCACTGAAACTTTGATACACAGTTGGGTCTGCTCCTGAGGGTCCCAGGGACCCCCCTGAAAGGTCTGATGCTAGGACTAGGCCACCTGCATCAATCCATGATTCCCCCACCTATCCACGGATGGTATCTTTCAGGGTAGTAGCATCAGGAAATTTCTCAATCCTTCTGTCACTCAAGAAGTGTAAGACCAAGGCTCTTTTAGTACCTGTTAAGGAGGGGATGGGGCATGGCAGTCATCTTTTCCCCCAAGTAAAGTAGAGCAGGTTGAAGGGAAAGTTTGAGAAGGGCACCCCTTTTCTATAATGGCCTGTAAATTCCACAGTCTGAATTTCATATGTGTTTTTAAAGAATAGAAGAAAGAGTACACTGGAATCTATGTACCATGTATTGGGAGTACGTTTTACTGACTTCAGTTGAGCTTGCTTCAAAATAGACCTATATAGGATTAAACTATGAGCCTCCAACGCATGCAAAGAAAGTTCATGACCAAGGATTAAATGCAACCCAATTAGGGAAGTTCCACCAAATGAGTTAGGTTAATGACTGTATATCTTGTTCATATTAAGCAAGGACTAACAATTGGTCTACGCCTAAAACTCTTTGCTGGTCTCTTTGGGAGCCAGTATTACCAGTAAACTCTGCCTTGAACTGTCTAAGCAGAGTGCCTGAAAAATGCCTGCTTAAAACCAGAGAAGGCGCTATAACAATTTCCAGCACTGCTGAATTCAACCGCTCCACCGCCCGAGTGACGTTCAGCAGCTCTTGGCTTAGAGAGGCAGCTTTCCCATTGTGTGCATTATTGCTTCAATCAGTGGTGGCAAGAAATGCGAGCATTCCCAACATGATGGATGCCCTTTAGAAGGTAAGAACTGCTAAATGATACCACGCATGGTGTGTGTGTGTGTGCGCGTGCACGTGCGTATGCGTGTGTGTGTGTGTGTGTGTGTGTGCGTGTGTGTAGAGAATTTGCCACAGAGATCTTTTTAAAGTATCAGCATGCCTTCAGTAACCAAAGCCTCTGCTCCTACTCCACAGTTCTTGTTCTGAAGTTGTAACAGGACAGCTGTACACACACTTTCTTCATTATGAAATTTCATTGCTAAATTAATATTAAGCAAAAAAATACCAGAGTGGAAAAAAAAACATGCCAATTCCTTGTGTGAAGAGAATAAGCAGGTATAAAAAAAACCCCTTAAAATATGGATTCTAAAGTGTTTGAGAATCCACTACATGTTATCTTTACCTGATAATTGCTTCAGAGATTAAGAAACATGGGTTGATATGACAGGGCACTCATGCATTTTGTAGCACAGTATGCATCCCATGATATGAGTTGTATCATGAGAATTGGCCTTAGTTAAGCATTTGACCGGGAAAAAGCCACATATGTTGCATTAGGATGCTGTGTTTCTAATGTTCTGATGAATTAGTTTACTGAAGATCTTGGCCTTCCAATTAAGCAGAAAGCATGTAAGATTTAAACTGATTACTACTAAAGGGGAAACCAGAGCTGACATTCTGGAATTTGTTCAAGTTAAGGGGCACTTCATATAGAAATATTATACCTTGGAAGCCAAACTGGTTCTTTCAATACCACTAACAGTTTCTTTGCTATTTTTTATGGATGTAAAAAACCAGCACCATAGCAATTATCACAAGCTTGAGCCCATCTGGACAAAGTATATAAAACTGGGCATTCTGGAAGGGTTCCAGAGACTGTGATTCTTAACACAGGAAAATGCTCGGCAAAGATATTTATAATGTTTAAATGCAGCCTAAATCGCATGCTGTGTATGTGTGTGCAGAAAGTGAGATATGTTGTTGCAACAGTCTTTTCCGTAACTATAAATTCTATGTACACTTATGAAGGCAAGCTACTAAGAACACACAAATATGTCACTATGACCAAGCAAAGGTAATTAGTAACAACAGATTTCCAACTCTCTCTAGAAAAAAAAGGTACATGAGAAACAAGAGAAGGCAAGAAAGAAAAGAGCTACTGTAGATAGATAGATAGATAGATAGAATATGTACACTTATCAATTGAAATTGATGTACACTTGAAATTACATGAATCTATTAGAGAAGCAAGCAATCTTCCTGGAAACTCCCCAAAACGTTTCTTATAAAAACGTAGAGTTTTTAAAATTGAAGAAAGCCATTTTTGCAGAAATCACTCCTCCTACAAGTTACAAGGAAACCATTAGAGCCATTTTTTAAATGAATACTGCAAACAAAGAGGAGGAAAGAGGACATGCTTAGACCACTAGGACCCCCATGGACCTCATGTTGCCCACCTCTGGTTTATTGTATAAGGATAGATAGATAGATAGATAGATAGATAGGTGATGGCACAACAAAGATTTAATAGATATTTTTCTAATCATACGCCTCTTTGATGACTTGAGCTATTCTTCCACACAATAATGCCAATTTATTCTTAACAGATGTGTAGTAATATTGAAATTACACGAATCTATTAGAGAAGCAAGCAATCTTCCTGGAAGCTCCCCAAAACGTTTCTTATAAAAACGTAGAGTTTTTAAAATTGAGGAAAGCCATTTTTGCAGAAATCACTCCTCCTACAAGTTACAAGGAAACCATTAGAGCCATTTTTTTAAATGAATACTGCAAACAAAGAGGAGGAAAGGGGACATGCCTAGACCACTGGGACCCCCATGGACCTCATGTTGCCCACCTCTGGTTTATTGTATAAGTATGTTAAGTGAGCCTCAATATTTTAAGAAAGATTTTGAGCAAGAGAGAGAGTTGGCCTGGGATATGGCAAACCCGGTTTGGACTCTTGCTCATTGACTGGCCTCAATAAAACCATTGTCTTTCATCTTAATTTATCTTATGGGCATGTCTACTGAAGGAAGCCCTGGTAGATGGGTAAAAACAAGGGCCTTCTTTTTGATGGCACCTTAATTATGGATTAACTTCTTGTAGAAGATCCACCTGGTGGCAACATTGTACTCTTCCTCATGTCTGGTTAAAATGTCTTTATTTATCCTGGTATTTTAAATTTGTCTTTGCATTTTGTAGCTGATTTTCTTACACATCTCAATTTTGCCTAAGATTGGGATTGTACGACTTTTTTTTTTTTGCACTGAATATTTGACTACTAGGTATACTTCCCAGAACTCCATTTTTAGATTTCAGAATCCCAAGAAGGGATTTTGGACAGAGGCATCCAACAAACAAATCAACTAACTCAACACCTAACGACACCGTTCAACCAACCAACGAGGTTCAATAACATGGCATTTTCTTGTGTTTATTGTTTTATCCTATACTGGAAGCCGCCTACAGTGGTTGAGTAGACCAGACAGGTGGGGTATAAATCAAATCAAATCAAATCAAATCAACCACCTGGTGGCAACATTGTACTCTTCCTCATGTCTGGTTGAAATGTCTTTATTTATCCTGCAAAGTTGTCTTTGCATTTTGTAGCTGACTTTCTTACACATCTCAATTTTGCCTAAGATTGGGATTGTACGACTTTTTTTTTTTTGCACTGAATATTTGACTACTAGGTATACTTCCCAGAACTCCATTTTTAGATTTCAGAATCCCAAGAAGGGATTTTGGACAGAGGCATCCAACAAACAAATCAACTAACTCAACACCTAACGACACCGTTCAACCAACCAACGAGGTTCAATAACATGGCATTTTCTTGTGTTTATTGTTTTATCCTATACTGGAAGCCGCCTACAGTGGTCGAGTAGACCAGACAGGTGGGGTATAAATCAAATCAAATCAAATCAAATCAAATCAAATCAAATCAAATCAAATCAATCAATCAATCAATCAATCAATCAATCAATCAATCAATCAATTTTCAGTTAGAACAAACTTCAGACTCGGAAGGCACCTACTGATTGGTGTATCCAGAACTGTGCTAGACACACTAAAAATCTGACTCAGCAGAAACCAGCTTCGCTTGAGGAAAACTTGCTTAGGTGAAAATAAAATAAAATACAGTACGTGTTGGGTGGAGAGAGAGAGGGAGAGAGAACTTCAAACAGAAATGAGACAGGATGTTATTATGTTCCCATAGGCTTCCAAGACTCACCACTTATCCATTTAGCCTCTGGATCATGAACTTTGAAATCATCACTGAACAGATCTTCCACTGTAATCTTCTTCTTCTGGGACAGGCTATTATCTTCCACTATAAAAAAAAACATGCAGAAGATGGGTAACTATCCATTATCCCTAATGTACAATTTTACCTTCCAATTCTGCAAATAAGGGAGGTTATTATTTTTCATTTTCATCTGACCCATACGTGTAGGAAGATGTGTATGAGACATGTGGCACATTCAGGGTTTGGAAATTATATTTTGTGGACTAAAATGCCCAGAATCTCTGAGACAGCATGGCCAAGAGGGAGATATGGTCCCAGAAAGTTATATTTTTAAGGCCCAGTCAGACTTTCTTTACCATATGAATGACCTGCCTTTTGCTTTTGTTTTGCTCTTGGGGAGAACCAAATCCTGAGAGAACAGTCTCTACAAAACAACAACGGTGGCTTTAATCTGCACAAATGTGGAAGTTCTGCTGTGGATCCAACAACACATGAGATTTTTGTAAAGGAGGATGGGAAACCCTTGTGAAAACAAGAAAAAGCACAGTGCTGTGATCTATCCCCTCTTCACAAAGGTCCCTTGGGTTTAATCATCCATAAAACAGCAAAAAACAAAAAACAAATGTCAACAAACCACCTTACTCTAAAGTTGTCTTGCGTTCAGCATCTCTGGGTGATCAACCAAGCCTTGCAATAGATTAGCAATTATTTGACCCTTCAAAATGCCAGCAAAATTTTTTTTCCATCTCTTTCCCTCAGTTCTATTACTAGAAAGAAATTTTTCACCAGGGCCTATGTGAGAGGTTGGATCAATGATATCCCTGCTAGGTAGAGTGAGAAAACTGCCTCAGGCAGCAGATACAGGGCCTAATCCCACCTTCTAAGCCATCTAGCGATTTCTCTATATGGGAGGATAGAGAGATGTGTTCAGCCAGCCTGCTTTATACTCCAGACTACACTGCTATCCTGTATTTGCTCATGTTTTGGACAGAGAACGTTTGCTGGTCCAATCCCTGTTAACTCCAGGTAGAACTGGGGTGTGTGTGTGGGGGGGAGAATACCATCTGGCATCCTAGGGAGCTGCTACAAATCTGTGTTGATAATATTGGACTGGATGTGAGTCGTTGTAAGACTTTCCTACATTCCTCAACTGCTGTGAAAGTTCTGCCCAGTTGCCAGTGTTCATCATCATAGGCATCCTTCAGTCTCGAGAGACTATGGTAACATGCTCTGAATCGAGGAGTGTCCTCTCCAGAGCATGAAGCCCGGGTAAGGTAATATGGAGGATAGGCTGTTACCCTTTTCCATGAGTGGATATAGCCACAAAGCAGAGGAAGTTTGAAGTCGGAGTTTTCCATCTCCTAGATGGGCTGCCTTCCATGGCTGACAAGCCCCACCTACCCAGTGTTAGAAGTAAAATTTACCTGCTAATCCAGTTGGCTTCTGCATGTCGAATGGGAGAGATACCTTTTTGTCATTTGACTTAGGCAGCAAAGTATCTTGTGACAGTCCTGTTCTTGAATCTTAGGCTCACTTTAGACCAGTGATCCCCAGTCTTGGGTCTCCAGCTGTTCTTGGACTGCAACTCCCAGAAATCCTGGCCAATATAGCTAGCAAGAAGGCTTCTGTGAGTTTTAGTCCAAACATCTGGGGGACCCAAGGTTGGGAACCACTGATCTAGAGAATATCTTTAGCACATCTCTGGAACAAGTGCTCCTTTAAGTGATGAGAGCCATCTGCTTAGCACAGCATGTCATTTTTCTTACCAGCATATCTTGCATTTAACATGTAAACATGTAGGCATTTTGTTTGAGCATATTTTGTAACTGGTCACTGGTAAGCCAGGGTCTAATTTTCAGGGTTGATGGCTGAGGCATGTATCTCAGCAGAAATCCCACTATGGATTGGAAAACAGCTTAATTACAGGGAATATTGCATTCCCTTTGATGCAACGGCTCCCTCGCTCGCTTTTTTTAAACTTATGACCAAAGGATGGACCTTGGAGTTCTAATGCACCAACAACAGGAACCATCACCTCCAGTACCAGATGAATCCCACAAGAATGAAGCCTCCCTATTCCTGAATTCAACAGTGGTTCAAAGTTTTTCAGGAAGATGGAGAGCATTTTGAAGGAAAAGATACAGTCAGTGCCAGAGGTTTCTTTGAAGTTTCTACAGCATGCTGATGAGGGGCCCATTCATTTCAAGCAGCAGCCGAGCAACAGATTGCATTTATGAATTAGGACATAATGAGTTATAAATATTAATAATCATTTTCATTATGGGCAAATGCCTGCTCTCGGTGCTTCCAGAAGCTTACGTTTTATTCTGTAATATGAGAGTATTACGCTTCTGCTCCTCCAGACACATATTTTTTGATTAAAAATGGGTTAGCCACAGCAATGACAATTACTATTTTTATGGGGGCACCAACCAACTGTATATTTTGCATTCTTGTCTTTATTTCCAATGCATATGCATTCTCAAAACAAAAATGGCATGATGGATGAGTTCTAACAAACACTGACATTTGTCAAGGGCAGGTCTGGAGTGTGTGTGTGTGGGGGGGGAAGGGAATCAATTAACACTTTGGCTATCAAGCCCTGTTTACGTGCCCAGAATCTCGAAGGGTCCAGAGGTTTCCATGCCAAGACAACAGGCAGAATGACAGCTTACACTCTGATTTCTCTGAGGCTGCTAGTTTGGCTGCCTCTGCTCCAGATTGCTTCTTGCACAGCTTCTTACCCAGCTTCTTTAGGTCCCCCCCCCCCCCCATGGCTACAATACCGTTTTAGGCATCAGGCCAAAGAATTCACTACAGTCCTGATCTGAAAGTAAATGAGGTTTAGATATTGTTCACCACCTAAGGACAGCAGCTTTTCAGTGAGAGACACAGGGTTAAACTATTCTGAGGGCAAGATCCAGTTGTATAACTCTACGCTGGCAAAACCCAGATCAGGCACTGGAAACATTTAATTTAAACTCAAGGAAACTTTCCTTTTCTCTCTGCTTTTCGGTTCCCAAGGCTCTCTAAGGTTCCCTTTTGTCCCAAGGAAAACTTTGGGAGGCTCAGGATGGGGGAGTGGTGGAAGAGAGCCCTTAGTAGTTTTTTTTTTTAAAAAAAATCCACCAGATCACCACCAGAATTCCCATAAATCTCGGATTTGTATTTCAAGCAAGGAACTTTTCCAAATATCAGAGGTTGATATCCTATAATAACAACCACTGCACCAGAATGAAAGAATGCCACATCAAAAATAAAAAGTCACATTTCTAATAGCAACTCAAGGAATCTCCCAGAAACATGAGCGGTGGTCGTCCAGAAGCTGTAGTCCACAGAGAAGTAAATCTTGCAAGATCTGGGTGTTGTGGGTCTCAGTCTACAAACTGAAAGCCAATGTTATAGGCCGTGTACACTCTGCTCACCCAAAATGCATCTTCTCGAAAATAAGCTTTATGGAAACAGAGGGGGCAATCTCTCAGATACGTGTTTTAAAAATCAGCTTATTCATGTCTAAAGATCAGAGAGGCATTATGGCACTAAGTGCCTTTCCCACTGCTTAGTGTTAACTTGCTCTGTGAACAACACACATCCCTGTTTAGAGAAGCCATAAACAGACTCCAACAAGCCAATTAATGGAGAAGAAAATGACTTTTTACTTCACTGGTCCCAAGACACTTTAGACAGTTAAGATTCTGTTTTCTTTCATTAATAGGCACACAGGCTTCCACTTGGTACTATATTCTAATGGCTTAGTCCTAAGACTGATTGTGTCTATGCACAAGTGGTGCTCAGGAGAGAACAAAGCAATGGAAAGGAGAAAACAAAGCCAAGGAAAGCAAGTTATTGCAGCTAGAGCTTGGAATGTTACATTTTAAAAGGAACTTGCTGCATTACTTATTGCTTCATGGCAGCCATGAAATTACATTGCTCTGATTGTGCGCATTAGTAATGTACTGGCATTAGCTAGTGAGACTGTGCAGCTTGCCCAAGGCTACATAGGCCAGCTGTACTCACAGGAGGCACAATGGGAAATGAAACCTCCAACCTCTGGCTCCCCAACCAGAGACCTAAACCAGCCAGCTAATGTTAGGACCAAGCCCATTGTTTTAGGTCTGCTTCATTCCACTTGGAGTTTGGCAGAGTTCTGTTTCTGGACTCCAAATTCTACCCCCCACAGCATGAACAGTAGCCATGCTTATTGGGACAACACACTCATCTGCACAGTAGCAGAGAGCTGCTTCCCTCTCCTACGCATGTGCATGCCTATTCAGCATCATTTTGCAAACAAAACAAAACAAAAACCCCACGTATTTCTGCTCTTAAGATTAAGGCACCTTTAAAGAACAGGGGAGAGGCTTTCTCCTCCTAGTTGATCCAGCAGTCAAGCTCAGTTGGATAAGGCCTCTGCCTTTTTTAAAAAAGTGCATTCCCAAAGACATTTAAACGACAACACCAGCAGCAGCAGCAACTAAAGCGAAAGGTTCTATAAATACCTGGTGTCAGCAAGATAACTGAAGTGACAATCAGGGAGCAGATAACCAGAATAACAAGTAATGCGATTGCAATTCCTTTCCAGTTTCTCTGTGGAGGGTTGCTCCCCACCAGCTCCTAGAGGGGGGAAAAAAGAAGAAAAGAGAAAGAACATTAAACAAAGGTGAAGAGCAATGGCCAAATCTAAACAGCAATTAGCTGAGTAGAGTTAATTAGCAGTGGCTTCAATAGGCACGGCTGCAGCTCGATGGTGCAGCGACATCTTGACTTGATACAGACAGATTTGTCTTCCTCAGGGGTGGGCAAAATGTAGATCCTGAGTCATTTGCAGGAGATCTGGAGTGTTCTTGACTCAGTACATTGCTTAACCACTGCAGTAATGAAAACTTCCTTCACCAGCTTGGAAATGCTAGCCTTCCAAAATGTAGAAATCTTGGAGCAAATTGGAACAAACTGATGTGCAAACTGAGTCCAGGATTTATTAACGGGTTAACTAACTCGCGTATATCTACCTTTCTCCTAAACCTGCAAGGCAGCTTATGATAAATTTAAAACATACGCAGATAAACGTAGATCAAAAAGAGGTACAAGTTTAAAGGCAGTTAGTGGGAACTGATGGCATTTAAGGTCAGCCTTACTACTGTATTTGGCAGCTGTCTCAAGTGGCATTTGCTGAGGGCTGCAGAGTATTAGCCAGTGGTGGGAGCCTAGGTGATTTGTATTGGAGTGGGGGCGGTGTCACCTCTATTAGCCAGTGGTGGGAGCCTACTGTAGGTTATTTGTATTGGAGTGGGGGCGGTGTCACCTTCTGAAATTTCCCAGTGAATCCCTTTTCTTGGTCCCTGGGATGAAGAACAGGGACATGTGTCATTCCGAGTTAGAGGATGGAGTTTTGTGTGCCTGCAGCTTCCAGCCTCTTGCCCTGGATGTTGACTCATCCCTTGGATTTAGAGAACCTGAATTTTCTGGCAGCAAAGGATGGAGTCCACCTCGTACCTATTTGGACTTCACCATGGAATACTTGTGTAGCTGTGTGACATTCCCACTTGTACTCTTTCCCACTTATTCTGAAAGTGTGAAGCTTCCATGACCCAGATGAGCAAGTCAGCATAGTAGCACCAGTGGTGCAATACATATATATTGAAAGGAATGCTTGTCACTTTGTGCTGTCAAGTTGCCTATGAATGAGTGACCTCCAAAATGCCAGTTCATTAACATCCCCACTCAGTTCCTGCAAACAAGGCACACTACAGCAACACTGTTGCTTACTTTGGTTTGAAAGGTGGTCTACATACCAAAATAGTTGGCCACTCCTGACTTAGCTAGGTAGGTCCTCTTTAGTTTACAAAGTTTACTTACAAAAGCTAGTTACATCTTTGTGACTTGGAGAACCGATTCATTACTATTTTCATTCTAGCAAAATAGAGGGTTGGCTTCACAGATTTACTTATGATTTATATTATACTATAGTGGGGGATGTGCGTATTTCCAAATATTGTTAGTGGCAGTTGTAATCAGGCCTAGCCAGTATGGTCAATGGGAAGGATGATTGATTTATAACCCAATAACATCTGGAGCCACACATTTTTTGATTTATCATATCCAATCATGCTTACATTGTAGAACTCTGTTCTGTTGTCTCATTTGTCTTGTGATAAAGATTTTGAAACAGAAAACAATATTTGGTCAGATGTAGAATAAGAACAGCAAAAAGGAAGCAAGAAATCTGAGCAGGAAAAGGCTAAATGAAACAGGAAACCCTAAAAGCAGTGCAATACAGGGGGAGGGATATTAAAAAGTGTGCATTTTTTCCTGCACATTAAGGTCAAGACATTTTTGTACGGTGAATATACCCTTGAGAAGCTGAGAATAATCAGTATTTCCATCTAAAAAAAAAAAGCATGGAGATTTTGTGATTTTTCCCAATGTCAGGCCAATGTTATAGCAAGAGAGTCAGGAAAACAATCCAGGTCCTATTATCTCCGTTCACAGCCAACCCTTCCTTGCACATCAAAAAGCCAGCAAGAGGAGACAAGGAGAGGCTGGGGAGGGAGACTGGAGAGCAAGCTAGTGCCAACCCTACCAGGAGGCCAAAGGCTAACAGAACTGCTCAAACAGAAAGCATGAGATCCTGCACTTGCTAGTTTCTCTTCAAACAGAGCAGCTGAGCCACAAGAGACAACATGACCCAAACCCTTAAGGTGGGCAACTCCCACCAGTCAGGAACAAAGGCAACTTCTAATATTAGCTCTTGCTTCCACCCATCCTTTTTCCTGTTGTCCTATCAGAAGTGCCCTCTTTGGCATTTGCTGCCTGGGATTTAGAGAGGGCATGTCCTTGGGCTCAGCTCAAGTGATGGGGTACCCTCTTACTGAGATATTGAGGACCGGGTAGTAGAGGTGACTTTCACAACAAACAGAAGTAAAATATAAAAACCAAGTCATCTTCAGACAAATTCTCGTCAACAGCTATGACAGGATGTCAGCAAAATTGGGTCACCTGTATTCTTTTTTTAGCAGTGAATACACAATTTGTTTTTTCTGCAGGATCAGACTTTATGGAAGACAGGTTAGTGCAGAGGCAGAAACAATGGGATCAGGACCCCACCCATGCCCTCTCAACACCCCCCCCCACTGTGACCTCCAGGGACTACTCCACCCTGGACTCCTGATGCCATTCCCCCTCTCCCCAGCCCAAACTGGCCAGTGACATGCCCGAAACTGCCAGGGCATCATGGTTAAGGCTATTTTATTTTTAAGATCTTAAAAGTACATAAGTGGAAATGATCCCGTAGTCACTTCTGTAATTAAAGAAGGGAGAAAGTACAGCCTGTCAAGGTCCCGGGGTGTGTGAAAGTGGAGGAGGTAAAGCTCCTGAGCCTTTGATGGCTGCTCCTCACTCTGTGAATGCTACAATCTACATCCGGGCCTGAAGCCAAGAATGCTGGTCTTAGAGGAAGGTAAAGGTAAAAGGTTGCCCTTGACATTTAGTCCAATCGTGTCTGACTCTAGGGAGCGGTGCTCATCCCCGTCTCCAAGCTGTAGAGCCAGCGTTTGTCTGAAGACAATTTCTGTGGCCACGTGGCCAGCGTGACTAGACATGGAATGCTGTGACCTTCCCACCGTAGTGGTACCTATTTATCTACTTGCATTTTTACATGCTTTTGAACTGCTAGGTTGGCAGGAGCTGGGACAAGCGACAGGAGCTCACTCCGTCACGTGGATTCGATCTTGCGACTGCTTGGTCTTCTGACCTTGCAGCACAAAGGCTTCTGCCACTACATTTCCCCTTAGAGGAAGAGATCTGATCTTTAAACTCCCATTGATATTGCTGGGGTGGGGTGAGGGTGGAATTGCAACTTTAATCTTCCCAGTATTGAACTGGGACTTCTGATGTCTTGAGTGCAGACTCTATTTGGATTGATGAATCCTTCACTGTTTTGATTTATTCATGGTCAGCATTAAATATGTTGTAGTTCTTCTGTAGTCATGATTTTTGCCTTCTGAATCTTCCACTGCAGGCCTGCTTTGCCCTTTTTTTCTTTCACTAAAAGTCATTTGAAGTCATTCCTGCTTTCTGCCCATAAGAGGGTGTCATCGGCATATCTTAAATTATTGATGCTTCTTCCACCAATATTCAATGGAATAAGCATTGATGGTGAAGTGAAAATTGGTGGACGAAACATCAGTGGTTTAAGATGCTATAACACTGTAGCTATAATTCTATAATTAAAAACATGCAGCCCAGACAGATGTTCATATTGTTTTTATATAAGAGAGAAATATCTGCGTGAATAAAATCATCTTTTTTAAAAAATATGCCTTTGCATGTAAATCCAGCAAACCATGCTCTTATTTATAATGCAGATTTATAGAATCCAGACTCTGCTCACTAGTATGTTTAATAAATAAAATATAAAATATTGGGGAAAAGATTATGACCAAGTTCTGCTGAGAAATATCTGGCCAAGCTGTGTTAAACTGCAGAGTTCAAATTATTTTCTCATCCACCCTGTATGAATGCTGAAAAGATGCACTATAAATTCCCTTTTTTATGTTGCATGGGCCATTTGCCATGGGCAGAGAGGGTAACAACAAATTATAAAACCAACAATGCCTATATTTTGGGCACATGAAGCTGATGTTTAATCGTTTCTGTTTCCTGTAGGAAGAGATTAAAAGGCCAGAAAAGGAGCTTAAAATCATTTCCAGGACTCAAGTATCCTTTACAAGATTTATGCCTTCCATCTCAGTTTCATGATTTCCACTGATTAATTCATTAAATCATGCCTTTGTCCAACTTCATCTTCTAAAGAACTCTGCTGCCCCTCCCTCATTAGGAATCTTTGCTCTGGGTTAGACATGTACAGTAATAATTAAAATATGGTGTTTCATAAAACTTAATAAAAATAACAATAACAACCTTCGAACTGCAGAATTGAACTCCCAACCTCTGGCTCCACAGCCAGAGACCTAAACCACTGAGCTTTCCAGCAGTTTCAGGGAAGCTATGCTGTAATGATGCAACTGCTATGGGAACCCCACTTCTTTTATAATGCCTGTTATAAACATTTCCCAGTATTCCTAGCAATGCCTTTACTCCAACTAGCAAGCCTTCCAGGTTGATGGAATTTTGTACATTTGAAGCAAGTAATGTGAGATGTCGATTCTCATAAGCATGCGAGATCTGAAGGCCTTAGGAATAGACCTCAACAGATGGGAAACCCTGACATCTGAGCGTTCAGCCTGGAGGCAGGCACTGCATCACGGCCTCTCCCAATTTGAAGAGACCCTTGTCCAGCAGGCCGAGGCAAAGAGGCAATTACGAAAGCAACAAAATCACGGAGCTGGACAGGGGAGAGATTGGATCTGTCTTCAGTGTGGAAGGGATTGTCACTCTCGAATTGGCCTCCTCAGCCACACTAGACGCTGTTCCGAGTCCTCCATACAGAGCACGTTACCATAGTCTTTCGAGACTGAAGGATGCCTAACGTACATAGCTTCACAGTCTGGAGTTTCAATTAATAGAGTGACCCATAATAAGTTACTTTAGGGGATAACAAGGGTATAATGAAGTTATATTTCAAAAATGTTTACTTCCTGAGGTGGTGGCGCTGC